CATTTTTTAAACTTTGAACGCGTATTACAGCAATATGGATAGGAATGTATCTATACTTAATGGATTCCCCAAACATTCAGCTTTCATATGCATATATTGGATTCTTTCTATCTATTATAGTTTTCGAGTAAATCAATGAAATGTGAATACACTGTAAATCAGTTTGTCGTTCTTTAAAATTCAATCAAATATATTCTAATTATCATTAATGACATATATCTGAGGTATTTGATTAAGATATTAAATGGTTTACTATTGACATAACAATTTGTTTATTTATTCCAAGACAATAGGGCAATCGTTCTCGTAGGGCGGTTCAGACGCTTCAATCGAATGCTTGTAATTGCCGGATATCAGATTCAATAGATCCCACTTTTCGTCCATCTGCGTGGAGATCTTCTCAAACTCCTTCTTGATGAAATCCTGCAGGTTGTCCATATGGACGCGCATCTGATTGTGCAGCTGCTCTGCATCTTTTTGGATATCAGCAACGATGTCTTCGCGTAAAAGTTTCAGAGTATCATCGTCGCTGTTGTTGATGAACTTGTTGTACAGAGATTTGAACTCGTTCTCCTCACGCACCTTGGCGATGGCAGTGATCTCAGTGTGATTGGAACTTTCCGCAGCGATAGAATGTTCCGACGTAATGTTATGCTGAGCAGGCATCTTCTGCGAAAACCGGACGAAGGTGACGCGCTGCGAGTGCGTGTCGATATTCATCAACGGTGATAGGTAATTCTTAGTTTCGTAGATCAAAATGGAACCCACGTTCGTGCCAATCACCAGGTGTTTCCCATCCGGACTGACGTCGCAGCAGGTCAGAGGAAACGACAGATGACCTCTGAAGACGCAAACGTTCTGCTTGATATCGTGAACGCAGAATTTGTCATCCTCTCCGACGCTGATCACCACCTCTTGCTTTGCAGTAAAAGTGATACCATTCACAACGGCTGTATGCATCTTCACCATGTACATGGGTACAATCTCATGTATATCGATCACGGCCACCGTTCCATCCTTGCATCCTGCTCCCAACAAATTTCTCTCGTTTTGATGGAACCTGATCACCGATGGACAAGAGTTCAAATTAAAATTCCCCGTCTCATTTTCATCCAACGTATTGAAGAAAGATATCATCCCGTTGCTACAAGCCACAGCCAAATACTCGTCCTCGACGTTGAAGTCCAAACCAGTAACCGGAGCGGAAACGGTGAACAATTTACCAATAGATTTAGTCTTCGTGTCGTACAGAGCTACCGTCGCTGCGGCCGTCCCAATAGCCACGCACCTTTTCGTATTCCTTTGAAAGATAGCCACCGTCGCCTTATCGATGGCAGTTATAATATGAATTGGTTTTATGTTGGCAATATCCTTCAAACTTAGGATTTCCGGTCGCCCTCCTTCCTGCAGGAAGATCAAAAAGTTGTTGTCCTTGCTCCACGAGATGCACACCACATCCGAGGTAATACCCAAACTGTAAGGCTCCTCCTGACTCCCATCCGGCCACTGGTGAATCTTCAGTTCGTTGGACGCTGTCACCAACATATCTCAGTTTGTCTTTCGAGCACACACTTTGAATTTGAAGTTTCGATTCGGACTGTAAAACGCACTCACGGGCGTGTATAGCGGATTTTTTGTTTTTTTTTAATTTTTGACACTTGCCCCGCTCTTAATAAAATCCACATGACACCAGTACACTTTAATTAATTAAAAAATCAAGAATTGCGTAACAATTAATAAGCGTCTTTGATTATGCCGAATCTGAAGAGAAAATTGGAAAAGGAGATGAGTAAATTTTGCAGGAGGATACCTGTTCCTGGCCACTGCAATTTTGTGGCGTAGTTTAATAGAAAATCGTTGATGCAAATATAAAATGCAGAAATTAATGAGCCGAAGATTAAGAATAAGCCGATGAAGGCTAGGAATCGTCCGAAGCAAACGGTGCATCTCTTGGAGTAAGTATAATCTCCGGTGATTATGGAATCGGGAATTATGTTAAAGATGAAGAAACCAACGGTGTTGCCCATTCCAGGAAGATAATAGAACGGTTTCGAGCGGATAACGTCTGGGTAAGAACAATTTACGTCGATGAGCAACCACCAACCCACGAAGAACATTAATCCTGAAATCAGTTTAGATTTATCCAATTTCAGTGCATGTCTCGTTTTCTATTGTAATGTTTGCAGTTGCAGATTGGTTCACCTGCAATTGATGCGCTCATCAGGTTCAGGAAGGCCCTAGACCGGATGCAATCGATGGAAATGCACGGCATGATGGGGAATCCCGTCAATTGCTCAATTATTGACGCATCCGTTGCGCTGCACTTGCGTAACGATAAACCATCAATAAACAATCACTTTATTCGGTTAACGTCTGCTTTTGATAAGCGTTCAATTAAAAGCTTCGTTTGCAACAAATCAAACAAAAATGTTTCACACAATCGAATGGTAAATTAAATTTCAATCATTGTGTCACAACATGATTGTGACACACGCACATCCTTGAAATGTCAATGTCTAACACATTTAATTTTATGACAGAAATAGTCAACAGTGTTTTCACATTTCATTGATTTACTCGAAAACTATAATAGATAGAATCAATCCAATATATGCATATGAAAACTGAATGTTTGGGGAATCCAGCAAGTATAGATACATTCCTGTGCTCTTATCTATATTGCTGTAATACGCGTTCAAATTTGAAGAATTGAAATCAGAACGTTCGAAAAAGC